TTCAGTGAATCCAGCTCCTGCCATTGGCTACGTAGTCTTGTGTGGGGTACAGAGGGCCCCCCACATCCACGAGACCCCTCCCCTGCCTCCATTGAGAACTCCTCGCCTGCCTATCTTGGATCTTTCCATCTTGGCAATTTTATAATGTCGTTTTACTTTTTTTTTTTTAAAAAAAAATTAAGATTATTGGGTTTTTCATCTTTTACGATACCGATTAAACCGCAGAGGCCCCCCCCAGAACCGCGAGGGAGACGGCCTGTTAAGGAGCCCGATACCTAAATAAATAAAATAACATAAAATAAAAGGCGTATCTCCGTGTGTGGCCTCCTTTTGTAGCAGTTGGCCTCCTCCTTCTCTGGGGCTGAACGTGGGGCTCCCTTTGTGTCCTCCTCTTCGGCCCTGACTAAGTCAACAACCTTCCCCCCCCCCCCTCAGCAGGCTGAGATGCAAGGTGGGCTCCCGAGCGGGGGTCCCCGGCTACCAGCCGAGGCACCGGCCCTGCCCCGACATCCATCCCCAAGCTGGGAATTGGGCTGCAAATGGGGTCAGCAGCCCCTGGACGGAACCCCCGAGGACCCCTGGGTCTTCTGCGTCCTATTAGGACCTCTAGGGTGCAAGGCCCACCTCCCCCTCATCAAAGCCCCCCTGGCTCTTAAGGAGACCATCGCAGCCCACCTTCCCAGCATTACAGGCAGTCTTCGAATTACGACCGCCAAATTTCTGCCCCGTTTTATAACCTTTCTTGCCATCGTTGTTAAGCGAATCACTGCGATTGCTAAGTTAGGAACGCCATTGTTAAGCGAGCCCAGCTATCCTCCCGTTGACATTGCTCGTCAGAAGGTCACAAAAGGGGATCAGGTGACCCCAGGGACGCTGCGACCGTCGTAAATATGAGCCAGTTGCCAAGCGTCTGAATTTTGATCACGTGACCCTGAGGGAGGCTGCAGCGGTCGTCAAGTGGTGGTCAAGTGTGAAAAATGGTGATAAATCACTTTTTTTGGGCTTGTTGTAGCTTTGAATGGTCACTGAACGAAGTGTTGTTAAGCCGAGGATTAATTATTTTATACTATATTGTATTATACTGGACTACATTACACTACACCAGGGGTAGCCTCTTTTATGACTTGTGGAGTTCAACTCCCAGAATTCCTGAGCCAGCAGTGCTGAGGGGAAAGGGAGAGGTTCCCAAGCTGAGCCATGCTGGATCAGGAATTCTGGGAGTTGAAGTCCACGAGTCATTGGGGGGGGCATAGTTCCCCCATGCTGGCTGAGGAATTCTGGGAGTTGAGGTCCATGAGTCATAAAGCAGCCTAGGCCTAGGCCAGGGGTAGGCAACCGTGGCTCTTTTATGACTCGTGGACTTCAACTCCCAGAATTCCTCAGCCAGCATGGCTCAGCTTGGAAACCTCTCCCTTTCCCCTCAGCATGGCTGGCTCAGGAATTCTGGAGTTGAAGTCCACAAGTCATGAAGGGGCCATAGTTCCCCCATGCTGGCTCAGGAATTCTGGGAGTTGAAGTCCACAAGTCATGAAGGGGCCATAGTTCCCTTATGCTGGCTGAGGAATTCTGGGAGTTGAAGTCCACGAGTCATGAAGGGGCCATAGTTCCCCCATGCTGGCTCAGGAATTCTGGGAGTTGAAGTCCAGGAGTCATAAAAGATCCAAGGTTGCCTACACCTGGACTACACTATACTGTACTATATTATATTATAACCTCAGCATTGATGATGTGAGTGCTGGGGTAAGAATAATCAGCTGATGCTCAGACTGAGCTAAATTTGAATAAATACCTAAAGAAAGACGTCATCTCCAAACGGAATGGCAGCAGAGCATTTTTAACGTTTTAACACGGAACATTTTAAAAGATTTTAATGCTCTCTTTGTTTTATATCACACTTTAAAGATGCTGTAAGCCATCTATACTTGCTGGATAGGGAGATGGGTGGCATATAAATTTAATAAACAGTAGCAGTAATTATTATTTCACTTGAACATCATTGGCATTGACAGAATCACTACTGGTCAACTGCAAAAGGCAGCTTTATTTGGAACAGCTGGCATCCCGCAACCGAATCTTTTTGGCACCATAAAACCACCACATCTGCCCATGTGAGATAAAAATGCCAAATCCAGTCTAAATCTCTGGCTGGCTATGCGACAGACCACAATCATAACCCAGAGTGTTGACAAAATCCCCATCGGTCAATTGCAAAAGGCAGTTTTGCTAGAAACAGCTAATCTCTTGCAACGCTATCCTTTCACGTTATGACACCTCACTTTCCGCCTACCCCGGGTTCTTGGCCAAATCCAGTGTCGAACATCTGGCAGACCGTGTGAGCAGCCATAATAATAATATTGCAGCCCCCTCTACCAGCAGGGCGGTGACCGAGAAATGCAAACACAACCAGAGGCACGGATGCGCTACCGATGCTCCCGGCCTCGGGCTGAGCCGGCTGCGCATCAATGCTGCCCCAACTCATCCAGCCGCCGTGGCTCGGCCCCGGGATGCCGAGGCACGTTCTCCTTCCTCTTAGGGTGCCTTCTGTTCCCCCCAAATGCCCCAGAGCCAGAAGGGGGATCAAACTTTCCCTTCCCAACCATGGAAATGCCGTAATAATAACCGTCTTGCTTCAAAAGGCAAGCAGGTGGGCGGGCAGGCGGGCGAGTGGCTGGGGGTGATAATGGCAAACCCAATTGTGGTGGGGGGGCTGTAGGCCCTCTTTTCTCAATCAAAGGGAGACAAAAACCTCTGGATCGATTCAGGGTGGAAGGACCCCTCCAAAGGACGGCCCGGCCAGGCGGACGCTGGCTCGCTGCCTTCCCAGGCGTGTCAGTTTGGGTCAGGGCAGTGCAGGGTCCGTTGCCTCTCGTGCTCTGCTGGGCACACACAGACTGACCACGAGGAAGGGTCAAGTGATTCAGCCCAAAGGCCAGCGGTGGGGTGAAGGGTGACTGGGGAGACTGCCTCCAGCCAGGAAGAGGGAGGAACAGGGGGGGCCTGTTGAAGCAGGGAGCTGGCAGGGGGGAGTCAATGGATTTGGCCCCCAGGGCAGAGCAGCCTGATCAGGAAGGGCCGGCTGGACCAGGGGGCACCTGGCGAAAGGACAGGTGAGGGGGCCGGAGAAAGCATAGGGGGCCTGGTAGCCCAAGGCAGAGAGGAAGCGCTCGCCTCTCGGGGGTCAGAGGGCAAGCCACCCTGGCATCCCCAGCGGAGGAAGGGGCTGGAGGCTGTTGAACCAGGCATTACGCAATGCGGGGTGTGTGTATGTGTGTGTCTCCGAGGCCGCGAGATTCGAACTCTGGACAAAGGCGCAGGAATGCGCCCTCAGCCACGACTGGGCTAGCAGGCATGTCGGGAAGCCAGACAAGGGGACCTCCCTTAGGGGCCACCACATGAAGACCCCCCCCCCAAAACCCAGAAAGAAGTCATCCAGGCAGGAAGACACCATCCATCTACTCTACCAGCTGACTTCTGATGGCTTCTTATGAGTTGTGTTCCATTTTACAACTTTTCATGCCAAAGTTGTTTTCCCATTGACTTTGCTTGTCAGGTCGCAAAAGAGGATCACCACACACACACACACACACACACACACACACACACACACACACACACACCCTGGATGCTGCGACCGTCATAAGTAGGAGTCAGCTGCCAAGCGGGTCTGAATTTAGATCATGAGATCACGGGGAGGCTGCAAGGGTTGACAAGAGGGGGTCAACGTGTTCTCCAAAGCACCAGAGGGCAGGACAAGAAAAAAATGGATGGAAACTGACCAAGGAGAGAAGCAACCTGGAATTAAGGAGAAAGTTTCTAACAGTGAGGAAAATTAACCAGTGGAACAGCTTGCCACCAGAAGTCATGGGCGCTCCATTACTGGAGGCTTTTAAGAAGAGACTAGACAATCACTTGTCTGAGATGGTATAGGTCGTCCTGCTTGAGGTGGGGGCTGGACTGGAAGACCTCCAAGGTCCCTTCCAGCTCTATTCTATTCTATTCTGTTCTGTTCTATTCTATTTTGAATTCTGAATTCTATTCCTATTCTATTTCTATTTCTATTCCTATTCTATTCTATTGGATTCTATTCATTATTCTATTCTGAATTCTGAATCCTATTCTATTCCTATTCTATTCTATTCTGTTCTATTCTATTCTGTATTTCTATCCTATCCTAACCTATCCTATTCATTATTCCATATTCTGTTCTATTCTATTCTATTCTATTCTATTCTATTCTATTCTATTCATTATTCTATTCTGAATTCTGTATCCTATTCTATTTCTATTCCTATTCTATTCCTATTCCTATTCCTATTCCTATTCCTATTCCTATTCTATTCTATTCTATTCTATTCTATTCTATTCTATTCTATTCTATTCTATTCTATTCATTATTCTATTCTGAATTCTGTATCCTATTCTATTCCTATTCTATTTCTATTTCTATTCTATTCCTATTCTATTCTATTGGATTCTATTCATTATTCTATTCTGAATTCTGAATCCTATTCTATTCCTATTCCTATTCTATTCTATTCTATTCTATTCTATTCTATTCTATTCTATTCTATTCTATTCTATTCTATTCTATTCTATTCTATTCTATTCCAAATTCCAAATTCCAAATTCCAAATTCCAAATTCCAAATTCTAAATTCCAAATTCTATTCCCTATTCCATTCCATTCCATTCTGACCAGGGACTGTTTTTAAGTGAGTCCCTTCTAAATTGACAGAAGGAAGCAAAGCAAACCGAACGAGATAAACTCAGAGAGAAAACACAAAGGACCCCCATCTCTGGACAGCTTCTAGCCCTGGAACTGCCAAAAAGTCTTCCTTTCCTTCTCTTTTCACCCCAAAACCACCCCCCACCCCCAAGGCGCAGGAAGGCTCGTCTCCAGATCTGGCATACTAGTGTCCAACTCCACAGGGAGGACATCTCGAGAACTTCCTTCAGGAGAGAAAGGCCAGCTGCCCTCCTTCACCTCCAGGGCCCCCTTACCTCCTTCCAGGAGCAACTTGACTGTGGTGTAGTCATCCGCCAGAACCCCGTAATGCAACGCCGTGCAGCCCTTGAAACTGGCCCGGTTGTTCAGGCGGTTGTTGAAGTCATCTTCGCGGGTGACCAGCACTGCAGGGCACGATGAGAGAGTTTGTTAGGGACAAAGCAATGCTCTCTAGCTCAAGATTGTGTATGTGGGAATGGTATGTAATCAAGGGACCGCCAAGACCACTCCCACCCCCAGCACTGATGATGTTCCCTAGTTGGGTCATGAAACGACTGCAAGAAAAGCACTCAGCTCAGAGAGCACCAAGGACCCCACAATCTATCTATCTATCTTTCTTTCTTTTTTCCTTTCTTTTCTTTCTTCTCCTTCCTTCCTTCCTTCTTTCCTTCCTTCCTCCTCCTCCTCCTCCCTTCTAGCACTGATGATGTTCCCTACTTGGGTCATGAAACATCTGCAAGAAAACCACCCAGCTCAGAGAGCACCCAGGACCCCACAGTTCTCCTCCTCCTCCTCTTCCTCCTCCTCCTCCTCCTCCTCCTCCTCCTCCTCCTCCTCCTCCTCCCTTCTAGCCCCGATGCTGTTCCCTAGTGGGGTCATGAAATGTCTGCAAGAAAACAGCCAATCAACCAGGACCACCCCACCAGTTCAAAGCTGATCTATAAGGATCCTCTTCTATCGATATGTAAACAATGCTGCCCAGACAGAAAGAAGACCTTAGAGCAGTGGTTCTCTACCTGTGGGTCGGGACCCCATTTGGGGTCAAATGACCATTTCACGGGGGTCGCCAAACAACGCAGTCCGCCATTTTTTTCCCCTTTTCCTTAGCTGTGCTCCTCCCTTTTATTCGATTGGCTTTTGAAAGCCAATAGAATAGACACTCTTGAATAGAATCTCATTCTATTGGCTTTCAAAAGCCAATAGGAATTGTCCAGGCTGTCTCTGCCCTGCTGAGCCCGCCAAAAGTCCCATTCTGCAAATGGGGCTGCACCAGTTGAGTAGTCCTCGACTTACGAACGGTTGAGTAGTCCTCGACGTACGACCGGTTGGGGGTCGCGGCATTAAAAAGGTTGAGAACCCCTGCCTTAGAGAGACCCAACAAAGGATGAACCTCCCAATTTAACGAGACCAACTTTGAGTCACTCTGCTGCTGAATCGGTGCCGCTGGTCTGTTTTTGCCAGCTTTGCAGAAAAAGGCAGAGACATTACTTTGCACCGTTCCCGGAGGAGGAGGAGGAGAAGGAGGGAAGAGATGTAAATGTATTCGATGCAAAACTAACGAGGAAAGAGAATTTTCTTAATATAACAGAGCCAGTCATCTGGCATAGATCAAGTCTACATTTAATGAAGCGTCTGTATGAACAAACAAAACACAGGTGGCAGTCCTCAACCTACGACCACAATCGAGCCTAAAATTTCCGTTGCTAAGGGAAACACTTGTTAAATGGATTTTGCCCCATTTTATGACCTTTCCTGCCACGGCTGTTAAGCGAATCACTGCACTTATGAAGTCAGTAACACGGTTGTTAAGTTGAATCTGGCTTTTCCATTGTTTTTGCTGGTGAGGAAGGAAGGAAGGAAGGAAGGAAGGAAGGAAGGAAGGAAGGAAGGAAGGAAGGAAGGAAGGAAGGAAGGAAGGAAGGAAGGAAGGAAGGCAGGCAGGAAGGACTGTGGGGTCCTTGGTGGTCTCTGAGCAGGGTGATTTTCTTGCACACGTTTCATGACCCAACTAGGGAAGCTCATCAGTGCTAGAAGGAGGGAGGGAGGGAGGGAGGGAGGATGGACTGTGGGGTCCTTGGTGCCCTCTGAGCTGGGTGGCTTTCATGCAGATGTTTCATGACCCAACTTGGTAACTTCATCAGTGCTAGAAGGAGGGGGGGTTGTGGAAAGGAGGAGGAGGAGGAGGAAGAAGGAAGGAAGGAAGGAAGGAAGGAAGGAAAGAGGGAGGGAGGGAGAAAGGGAGGGAGGAAGGGAGGGAAGGAAGGAAGAAAGGAAGGAAGGAAGGAAGGAAGGAAGGAAGGAAGGAAGGAAGGAAGGAAGGAAGGAAGGAAGGAACGAACGACAGACTATGGGGTCCTGGGTGCTTTCTGAGCTGGGTAGTTTTCTTGCAGACATTTCATGACCCAACTAGGAAACATCCTCAGTGCTAGAAGGGAGAAGGGATCACGTGACCCCAGGACGCGGCGACCGTCATAAATACGAGTCCGTTGCCAAGGGTCTGAATTCTGATCAATGGTTGTGTGAAAAACGGTCAATAACTCCCTTTTCCCACTGCTGTTGTAACTTTGAACAGACACTAAACGAACTGCTGTAAATCGAGGACTCCTTGTAAATGATTTGAAATGTTATTTTTGCTAATGTACACCTTTGTGGGCTAATTTTCCCCTAACACAGAGGGGGTCTCCAACCTGGGCGACTTTACAACTTGTGGACTTCAACTCCCAGAATTCCTCAGACAGCTCTGGTCTGCTGACTGAGGCATTCTGGGAACTGAAATCCACAAGTCGTAAAGTCGCCAAGGTTAGAGATCCCTGCCCTAACAGACACACTCCTGCTGGTTTTTTTCAACAGTAGAGCTACACCGGGAAATTTGAAGCAGACACATTATTTAAAAGTTAGAAGAGGTTCAATGGGAAATTTCTTAAGTTTTGGTTTAAAAAAAAAAAAGTGACTATTTTCTTCCCCACCCTGGAACATACATCTTTACAGATGTTTCCAGAACAGAAAAACTGGAAAAGAATAATACAAAAAACCCCATCACTCTGCTTGATCAAATTATTGTCTCAGTTTTCATTTCTTAAATTTGTTATATTTACATCTTGCCTTTCCCTTGAAAAAGTTCAAGCGGTTTGCATACATTTTTTTAAATTAATTTATTAAGAGAATTCATACAGCTGCTCAACTCATTCGTCGTGACTCCAGGCGGCTAAACTGCTCGGTTAATTCACGTCGTTCCTATCGCTTTTACTTATTAATACTTATTTATTAAAATTATACGCCACCCACCTTGCTGGCACGCGGCTCTGGCTTGCAGCACAATAAAAACAGTATTGTTATAAAAGGTGAAAACATTTAACCCTGCCCCAATTCGTTGAGACATAGAGGCTTGGCTCCATGATGCTAAAATTAAAAATTAGCCAGGAGGGAGGGGGAATATATGTAGGATGGAGGTGGGGTCTTCTATTTAATGCAATTGCAGCCCCCAGAATGACAGGCCTACATGCATGCCCCGGGCCAACTGGTAGAGCTGGGTCTTCAAGCCCTTTTGGAAGAGCAAAGGAATGGGTGCGGATCTCACCTTGAGATCACACTGACGAAGCTTCTGGGATGAGAGTGAAACGTTTTCAAGGAAGTGGGGGGGGGGAAATCAAGAAAGTCCAGTTGCCTTTTGGAAAAAAAAAGCACCTTTGGGTCAACCGTGATATATAACATATAAGGAACAGCTGCTGGAATTGGGTATGTCTGGTTTAATGAAGAGAAGGACGAGGGGGGACAGGATAGCTGTGTTCCAATACCTCAGGGGCTGCCCCAAAGAAGAGGGAGTCAAGCTCTTCTCCAAAGTGCCTGAAGGCAGGACAAGAAGCAACGGATGGAAACTCATCAAGGAGAGAAGCAATCTGGAACTAAGGAGAAACTTCCTGACAGTGAGAACAATGAACCAGTGGAACTACCTGCCTCCAGAAGCGGTGAATGCTCCAACACTGGAAGTTTTTAAGAAGAGACTGGACAGCCATTTGTCTGTAATGGTATAGGGTTTCCTGCCTGAGCAGGGGGTTGGACTAGAGGACCTCCAAGGTCCCTTCCAGCTTTATTATTATTATGGATCATCGCACAGTCAGCCAGATGTTCACACTGGATTTGGCATTTTGTCTAACTACTACTACTACTACTACTACTACTACTACTACTACTACTACTATTACTATTATGACTTGGATGGCTGAGAAGCTCCATAGACATTTACTGTTTAAGGTCTTGTTTTTCACTGCTAGCCAGCCAGAGTCGTGCGCATGAGACGGGCAGCCGCACAAACTACAAAATACATACACAGAGCGTCGAGTAACCGGTTTTGAAGCAGTGTTTCTCAACCTTGACCATTTTAAGGCATGTGGACTTCAACTCCCAGAATTCCACAGCCAGCGTTGCTGGCTGTGGAATTCTGGGAGTTGAAGTCCACATGCCTTAAAATGGTCAAGGTTGAGAAACACTGTTTTGAAGGGACTTTGGAGGTCTTCTAGTCCACCCCGTTGGAGACAATTAGCTAGCCCGTGTGCCCCTGAAGCTGCCCCCCCCTCCTGCAGATGTGGGTCCTGAGCAGCAGCAGCGGCAACAGGCGTCCCCCTCCCCTTCCTGGGCGGTGGCTGGTTAAGGGCGAGACCAGTCCAATCTAAAATATTGTAATTAATAGCCCGCCTCCCTCCCAGCTGGCATGCACGCAAATAAATCTCAGCGCCTACAGAAGGAGCCATCAGAGCGATGGGCTGGACCTTCTGCTTTTTTTTTTTTCTTTTCTTTTCCCGGGCTGCATTTTTTCCTTCACCTTTGTGCGTTTTCCTTTTTTCAGGGATGGGGGGGGAAAAAAGAGAGGCTGTCCCCTTATTTTTATTTCCCTCCTTTGCCTATCCGGGGAGGGGCCCCGGATAATCAAGTGGCTGGTGTCAGGGAAGATGAATCTGAGATACTAGGGAGCGATGCGGTAAAAAGATTAAAGTGTTATTATGGTTAGGTAGCTCTCCCCCCCAGTGGTCCAGCCTGACAGCTCGACCGTCATCCGTAAAAAATGTCTCCGGGAGAGATAATCATCGGAAACTCAATAAAGCGTCAAGGGAAGCCTCTTCCGCCATCCATCACTGGGGAGCCTGGAAATTTTCAGTGCTCCATCTCTCCTCCCTCCCATCCGTATAAATGTCTCTAATATATTTTGTGCAGCAGGCGTGGTGGCGGCGGGGGTGGAGGAGCCCACCCCTCTCCCTGGCTTTGGAAGCTTTTGTGAAAATATATATATATGTATTTGTACACAAAATATGCAAATCGTTAAAAAATAGCTGCGGAAAACAAAGGCGTTTTTTTCCTCTCTCTCTCTTACCTCCCCCCCACCGTCTCTCTCTCTCTCTCTCTCTCTTTTAATGCAAGTGAATTTATTCTTTTTAATAAAACATGTCAAGCAAACAAATGAAGGCGGCTTCCTTCAGAGGGGGCCTGCTTTTCCTACATTCCAGCTGTTCCTTCTTCCCCGCCCCCCCAAAATCCAGAATATGTATACATATACATATATACCTCAGAAAACATAGATAGACAGATAGATAGATAGATAGATAGATAGATAGATAGATAGATAGACAGATAGATAGATAGATATAGATATATAGATATAGATATATCCCTCCAGTATATATCCAGAATATATATACATATATGGGCTGAAAAGGGCAAGGAATGAAGACAAAAATATTAACTTTACGGCTTGATGTATTTGGGGCTTAGATAAAGTCTAGCCGAGATATATTGGCATCCTGTTGTCTGCCTTTAATGGTGCACATTTGTGTGCGTGTGTGTCTGTGTTTGTGCGTGCGTGCGTGTGTGCACACAGGATGACTCTTGTGACTCAGGGAATTTCCTTCTCCTTGCAAATCTGATCTCCTGACTTTAGCGTTGGTTGGCATTTCACACACACACACACACACGTATGTATGTATGTATGTATGTGTGTGTGTGTGTATGTGCATGTGCATATGTATATATACATACATACATACATACATACATACATTGGTAGGCTAAAACACATAAGGAACGGCTGCTGGAATTGGGTATGTCTGGTTTAATGAAGAGAAGGATGAGGGGGGACAGGATAGCAGTCTGCCAGTATCTCAGGGGCTGCCCCAAAGAAGAGGGAGTCAAGCTATTCCTCAAAGCCCCTGAAGGCAGGACAAGAAGCAACGGATGGAAACTCATCAAGGAGAGAAGCAATCAGGAACTAAGGAGAAATTTCCTGACAGGGAGAACAATGAACCAGTGGAACTCCTTTCCTCTAGAGGTTGTGGGTCTCCATCACTGGAGTTTTTAAAGAAGAGAGTGGAAACCGAAGGCCGGACAAGAAGCAACGGATGGAAACTAACCAAGGAGAGAAGCAACCTGGAACTAAGGAGAAACTTCCTGACAGTGAGAACAATTAACCAGTGGAACCACCTGCCTCCAGAAGCGGTGAATGCTCCAACACTGGAAGTTTTTAAGAAGACACTGGACAGCCATTTGTCCAAAATGGTGTAGGGTTTCCTGCCTGAGCAGGGGGTTGGACTAGATGACCTCCAAGGTCCCTTCCAGCTTTATTATTATTATGGATCATCGCACAGTCAGCCAGATGTTCAGACTGGATTTGGCATTTTGTCTACCTACTACTACTACTACTACTACTACTACTACTACTACTACTACTACTACTACTATTATGACTTGGATGGCTGAGAAGCTCCATAGACATTTACTGTTTAAGGTCTTGTTTTTCACTGCTAGCCAGCCAGAGTCGTGCGCATGAGACGGCCAGCCGCACAAACTACAAAATACATACACAGAGCGTAGAATAACCGGTTTTGAAGGGACTTTGGAGGTCTTCTAGTCCACCCCCTGCTGGAGACAGGAAACCGAAGGCAGGGCAAGAAGCAACGGATGGAAACTCACTAAGGAGAGAAGCAACCTAGAACTAAGGAGAAACTTCCTGACAGAGCAATTAACCCGTGGAACCACCTGCCTCCAGAGGCGGTGAATGCTCCAACACTGGAAGTCTTTAAGAAGAGACTGGACAGCCATTTGTCCAAAATGGTGTAGGGTTTCCTGCCTGAGCAGGGGGTTGGACTAGATGACCTCCAAGGTCCCTTCCAACTTTATTATTATTATAACGTGCGACCACAGTTGAGCTCAAAATTTACGATGCGAAGGGAGACGTTTGTTAAGTGAGTTTTGCCCCATTTTACGATTCTCCTTGCCACATTTGATAAGTGAATCGCTGAACTTGTCAAATTAATACCGGTAACACTAATTTAAGGGAATAGCATAGAACAGAATGTAGAATGGACTATCTTTATTGTCATTGTGTGTAAGTCACAACAAAATTAAGTTGCTGTTAAGTGAACCAGGCTCTCCCACTGAGTTTGCCTGACAGAAGGTCACAAAAGCGGATTGTGTGACCTTTGCGACCGTCGTAAGTATGAGCCAGTTGCCAAAGCGCCCGAATTTTGATCATGTGACGGGGGGAGGGGAGGCTGCCACGGTCATAAGTGTGAAAAATGGTTGTAACTCATTTTTTTTCAGTGCCGTTGCAACTTCAAACGGTCACTAAGCAAAGTGTTATACATTGAGGACCACCTGCATTTATTTTATTTTTTTAATCAACAGGAATAAAAAACGAAACAGGAAACGAACATCCAAGACTAGTAAACGAGCAAAAAATAATAATTTTTGTTTGCTAAAAAAAAAGGGAAAAAAAAACCTGCAAATGTCAAATAGATCTAACATTAAACATAAAGAATTATCCCAGCTGGATGCTGAAAAGCATGTGTGTATTTATGTATGTGTATATATGTATGTGTGTGTATATATATATGTATATATGTGACTCTTAGTGACTCTTTTTAACCACAGGCTTGTTTACATTAAACAGTCTGGTTTATTATATCCTAGTGTTCATTTTTCTTTCTACCTTGGTTAATATGATGCCCAGGATTCACATTTTAAGTATTTTAAAGGATATATGTGTGTGTGTGTATATATATATATATATATATATATATATATATGTATATGTATCAATAATAATATTGAAAATACGATTCCTGGGTATACTCATATTGCAAAAAACGATCCAAACACGAACACCAGGAACTGGTGTTCGTGTTTGGATCGTTTTTTGCAATATGTATATGTGTATGTGTGTGTGTGTGTGTGTGTGTGTGTGTGTGTGTGTGTACGTATCTATCCCTTACATAACGGGTCTACAAATTGTACGAAGCTTTCCCTTCCTTATTTAAGAAAAAATACCTCATTGAATACACAAGCATTTCAGATGAGGGAGTCTATCTGTCTGATAATCAAATTCACCCAACATCTAATCATGGTATATATATGTAAAAAAAAGAAAAGAAAAAAACAGTCAACGGATTAGCGCAAACCTGACACTAATCTTTAATCCCCTGTCAATCATCAGTTCTTGTAGTGCTTCTCAACCGTGGCCACTTTAAGACCTGTGGACTTCAACTCCCAGAATGCCCCAGCCAGCCATGCTGATCTAGAACATGGCTCTCGATGGGCAAGATGTGGATGGTCAACCCTTGGTTTGTGCTTGGGAGAAAAAAAAAAGGGGGGGCACCCCTAAGGGCCCCGTGGAGACCCCAGGTGAAGCCGCCGTCTGAAGAAATGCTTTTAACCGCATCACTTCTAAGGAAGACAAGGGGGGGGGGAAGAGACACATGCTGCTCCGGGGGGGGCCCAATGGGGGGGAAAAAACAAATAAATGAGTAAGTCGGAGTGTGGTGTGAGGTTGGTTACCTTCCAAGGAATGGATCCCCTTCTCTTTGGCCGTCTGGTAGACGCTGCTGAACTCGTCTCCCAGGTTGGGGTCAGCTCCTCCCGCCAGCAGAGCCTTCACCACGCTGTCCGGACAGAAGGAGAGGCTGCGGTCAGATCCAGGAAGGGCTTCCAGAAGGTGGGGAAGGAAGGAATGAAAGAACTATTGGAAAGGGGGGAGGAAGGAGGGGAGGGAAGGAAGGAGGGGAGGGAGGGAGGGGAGGAAGGAGGGGAGAGAGGAAGGAAGGAAGAAGGTGGGAGGGAGGAAGGAGGGAGGGAGGGAGGGAAGAAAGGAAGTAAGGAAGGAGAGAGGGAAGGAAGGAGGGGACAGGGAGGGAGGGAAGAAGAAAGGAAGGAAGGAGAGGGAAGGAGGAGAGAAGAAGGAGGGAGGGAAGGAAGGAGGGAAGGAAGGAGGGAGGAAGGAAGGAGGAAGGAAGAAGGAAGGAGAGGGAAGGAGGGAGAGAAGAAGGAGGGAGGGAAGGAAGGAGGGAAGGAAGGAGGGAGGGAAGAAGGAAAGAAGGAAGAGGGAAGGAAGGAGGGAGGGAGGGAAGG